TTCAACAAAATTGTCTGGTGTGTTCACTATACACCTACCTACCAATGTCAATTTAGCAATGCTTTATTGTAAAATAAATTCGAACATCAGAACAATGTTTCACACAAAAATTGAAATACATTCATTCTTAACTGGTAAGCAAACTATTTAATCAAAAGCATTCATGGGAAGCGGGGATTCAAAATTGTACAAATGGTGTGGCTGGAGCTGAGGGGCGGGGCCAAAAAGGGTTATTTGGCTATGTTGTTTTAAGGGACTTCTTCTCTGGAACTAAGAAATTGGTTGGTTGGTTGGTTGAGGTGTTTTGCACCTGCATGAATCCGCCATTACGGGTTTCATCTCACTGACGGAAGTCGGTGTTCTGTCGGCGTTGATCTAAGAAATGGATATCAACCGTGTTTGACTGGAAGCATCCCTAGGTGGTGGTGATTCAAAATTGTACCAATGGTGGGGCTGATCCCCTAGGGGGCTGAGGGGCGGGGCAAAATGGGGGGAATTTGGCAATATTATTTAATTAAGCGACTTCTTCTCTGGAACTAAGAGACGGATATCAACCATATTTGACTGGAAGCATTCATGGGAGGCAGGGATTCAAAATTGTACAAATGGTATGGTTGACCCCCGGGCTAAGAGTTTGGGCCCAAACAAGTTTATTACTTGGAAATGGTTGAGATCCCGTCCATATAACCATATATACAATTGCTGAGTATAAAGAGAAAAAGAGAAGAACGCACATTTGCTTCCAGGATGGCCCTAGGGTCTGGCCCCACCCTTGGAGACATAGTCCATGTGCCATAACTTTATAACGGTTGAGATCCTCACCCAAAAACTATATATACAAATACTGGGCATAAATAGACGAATGCAGTCATGATATCAGAATAGACCCTGGGGTCAGACCGCACCCCTAGGGACCTAGTTTCTTAGTCACAGCTTGGAAACAGTTGAGATCCCCACCCTATAACTACATATACAATTGCTGAGTATAACGAGATGAATGCACATATGCTTCCAGGATGGCCTTGGGGACTGCCCCACCCTTGGAGACTTAACCCCTGGGTCATAACTTCGAAATGGTTAAGATTTCCACCCCAAAACTATTTATACAAGAGTTGGGCATAAAGAGACGAATGCAGTCATGATATTATAATTGACCCCAGTGTCTGCCCCACCCTTGCAGACTTAACCCCTGGGTCATAACTTTGAAACGGTTGAGATCCCCACCCCAAAACTATATATACAAATGCTGGGCAAAAAGAGACAAATGCAGTCATTAGAATTGATCCTGGGTTCTGGTCACAACCCTAGGGACCTAGTTTCTCAGTCACAGATTGAAAACAGTTGAGATCCCCACCCCATAACCATACATAAAATTGCTGGGCATAAAAAATCTTATACAGATATGCTACAAGGATTGGCATATTCCCTTGGATCTCATTTGGAGAATATTTTGCCATGATTGCTTAGGTATCCAGGTGAGCGATACAGGCCCTCTGGGCCTCTTATTCAATGTACGTGTTGTCTACACAGATACTTTTGTTTTCTTATTGTTCCTATCTTCATAGTCCATCCCAAGTGTCCAGTTTGACAACTCGATTTCTTAATTGGCAAACGAAATTTAATATTATAACTTATCTAAGGACCCTCACCACTTGCAGGCAATAGTCATTTGGACAGAGTTAGCAAGCTTGTATACTGCGTAAGTTACGTTATACTGTTTTCTCCCGTATTGATGCTTTTGTGCTTGTCTAAGTCATCTTTGCTGGGTTTTTCAAGAGAGGCATTTTAAATAAATGACAATATGTATGCTACAAATGGCTATCAACTTAAAATTGGAAAAAAACAGGCTGACTGGCGTATGCCATTGTAGTACGTCGCTTATCACCTTAAATTAACGTCCTATACTTATTTCTATGTATGTCAGTAACAATTGCATTGACATTAACATACAAATAGACATTTGTGTACGTTAAACAAAGATCGATAATCAATACTAATGCTTACAAAGTAATTCTGATCGGAGAGCATCCTTACTTCCTGATAGAGGATATTGATAACTCTTTATTTATCACTGAAGATCCTTCCGTTCCAATTCAGATTTACATTCAAACATTGTAACTTGATCGGAGTTACCCTCTTCAAGCTGGTGACGTTAGAACAATAGACAGGTGAGCGGACTCCTTGATCGAAATATCATGAACTCTATTGTCAAAATTTCCATGCAAAAACTAGACCTACCGACCTGTAAAGAATCTTTTATATAATTCAAACAACTTTATCTAGTGTTTGTCATGTACCCGATTTTACATGTTTCGTGGTATTGTGTGCTATTGATAGCATCGGTGTAAAAACCGGACTTAAAAGGACCTCAGTTATGTCATGTGATGTTTTACACTTGTGTCATTGGCTGTTATATTAAAGACATTCACAGTAAATTTCCATCACGTCATAGCGTGATTACAAATATGCTTAGATTTCTGAAATAGCGTCACTTTGTTGGGGAGTATCAGGGAAGTCACTCATTCTGAGGATATACGGCTAGTCTATGTAAAACTTTATAAGAAGTCACCACGTAGTTTGTTTGGTAAAATAGACACTAATTCTGTGGATATATGGCTAGTGTGTCTGTGAACAACTTTATTAGAAGCCAACAGATAGACTATGGGTAAAATAGACACCCATTCTGGGGATATATGACTAGTCTATCTGTATAAAACATGATATGAACTCACCATGTAGTCTACTGGTAACATAGACACCCATTCTGGGGATATATGACTAGTCCATTTGTGTACAACTTTATATGAAGTCACCACATAGTTTGTTTGGTAAAATAGACATTCATTCCAAGGACATATGGCTAGTCTATCTGTGTACAACTTAACAAGAAGTCACCGCGTAGACTACAGGTAAAAAGACACTCATCCTGTGAAAGTATGGCTAGTCCATCATTGTAAAACTTACAAGAAGTCACCACGTAGTCTATAGGTAAGTATTATATAGACAACTTATTATTTGTCTGTGCAAGGTAATTAAATGTCATGCTATACGATTTGACATGGTTATTAAGAAGAGAGGATATGACAATGAAATGATTGTTAATTTGATCAACTTCTGTTTACTTTCCCAATCAATCAACACTTTAGTAAATTTTAATTGCACCAAATCTTTCAATGTATTTCTTGTTAAGTCTGTCTATGTTAGGTCGTTAGGGACGCAACTGACCTTAGACTATGTATTTCTTCCTCTGAACACCTCGACCGATTTGGTCATCTTAGATGTACTGTAATCAGGGCAAGGTGTTCCTTCTTCTTCTTCTTCTTCTTCTTCTTCTTCAAGGTACAGTCCATACCACTTAAGTGTATTCTCTGACTTTGCGTGATGTGAGCAATTCAACTATTCACAGGTGCATTTAAAATCCATTATATACAGTTAAAAATACAGATCGCCCACCAACGAGCCTTCGTGTGTGTCCCGTCAATCCAAGGACTGTGTACATGTCGATACATGGTACACGTAGATTACGTTATAGAGTAACTTCGGGTCACCGNAAAATTCTCAAATTGATCTGATATTGCGGTTTTTTGCACTCTACCTTCTGCTTAAACAGTAGTTTTGACCAATTTGCATTGAAACCATTTTTGCCTCTAGCATCACTGATTAATTTAAGGAGGACGAAACAGTTGTATGGTGCATGTAATTTTATTTTGGCTGAAATTTCTAAATTTTAAAGGTAAAATTAATTAAGGTGTTGTCTTGTGTTCCCACTATCAAGTACACATGTTTATACACGACTGTATCTAAATGTGTATTATCCACACAGGCACCTACTTACAATGGCGCCATAACTATAATATATTGGGTCTGCTACTACTTTGTCGGTTCTCTGTGACACTACCATTGTCTTTCGTTATAACCCTGAAAGAATAAATGCTTTATTCAAAGTCAATCATCTATTGAAACTTTGTACTTTTTGTGTAGACATCAATTAGAAACGATTAGCGATATATCAGTTGTATCATTGTAAACAAGCAGGATATTTAAAATACACCAATAACATCATGTGATTTTGGCATAATTATATTACTGTACCGTGGACTGTTTTGAAATGTTTATCATATGATCTAATCATAAAAGGATTGTCCCCTTAATAGCGTTCGTCACCCCACCCTAGCACACAGCAGTGGAGGTCCTGGATATATGCCATATACGCCTGTAATTACCACTACAACCATACCCATACACAACTGTATATCATCCGTACTAGAATGNAGAACATCGCTAGTGTCCTGTTTTTATGGTATCGTGTGATTTATCATTACTTCATTAAAAGACAGTCTACTGAGGGAGAATTTAATTGGTCAACGATTATATCATTTGAGCCTTCGTAAAGAACCCGATGAGTCATCGTCAATTTTTTTTTTATAAAGACACCAATATATCAGGTGATTTGAAGATGTACCTTGAGCTGTTTTATTAGATTTCTTGTCAAGTGATTGTGCAATATCTGTCGCTATTCATATTGCGTGACAGAGTGTGTTTATACTCGGATGTCAGCATTTTGAAAAAAGATACATAGCTTTACTTTTGTACCAATATACCCGTTTCTAGCCACGGTCTACTCTATATAGGCATGTACACTAATAAATCTTTTAAAATTACGATTTAACAGACCAACCCGTGAGTAGGACCCTTAAGTGTTCTGGATTCCTCTTATTGCCGAACGATTCATATGCACCATAATTAGGAAAATGATATGAGCTATGCAACGATTAAACACTTATCATACCTTCTTCAGAAGAGGTCGTTTCAAGTATTTGACATATTTGACCCCTCTGACATTGAAAGTAGGTCCAGGTCATTTTCATTCGCAAATCTTGTAAGTCTCCATCCTAGGAAGCTACCAGCCAACTTTTAAGATTATATACATTTCAGTTCTTCCGAATAAGTCGTTTGAAGTGTTTGACTCATTTGACCTCTGTGACCTCTGTGACTTAGAAAGTAGGTCAAGGAAATTTGTATTCTCAAACTTTGTCGGGCTCCATCCAAAGAAGCTACCATCCAACTATTATGATTATATACCTTTCAGTTCTTAAGAAGAAGACGTTTTAAGTATTTGACACATTTGACTCCTGTGACCTTGAAAGCAGGTCAATGTTATTGTCGTTCTCAAACTTTGTCGGGCTCTTACCAGCGAAGCTTTTCAGCTAAATATTATGACTCTAGGCCTGCCCATTCTTCAGAAGAAGTCGTTAAAGGAAAACCAACCACTACACCATTGCAATGCAATTCCCGGCCCTGTACTACTAGGTCGTGTAAGTACCACTACTGTCCTAACATCGATTGGAGAGTAATTTTATACAAAGATACAACGAGTAATGGGTCACCGCGTACTCGATAGGTTATATAGGAAACCGTAGCAAAACTAAGACCAATTGTTGGATCAAAATTACTTAAAATGTCGTTGAGCCTTGAAAGTTTTCTAATATAACAATACTGTGCAGTTTGCTTTTTTTGCTTGTATTAGTGATCTTTGCTGTTTCTTCAAGAGAGGCATTTTAATTAAAATGACAACATGTATGCTACAAATGGCTATCAACTTAAAATTGAAAAACACCAGGCTGACTGGTGTATGCCAATGTAGTACGTCACTTATTACCTTGAATTAACGTCCTATCCTTATTTCAATGAATGTCATTAACAATTGCATTAACATTAACATATACAAATAGACATCTGTGTACGTTAAACAAAGATCGATAATCAATACTAATGCTTACAAAGTAATTCTGATCAGATAGCACCATTAGTTCCTGATAGAGGATATTGATAACTCTATTCATCTTCTGAAGATCCTTCCGTTCCAAATCAGATTTAAAACACGCACATATATGTCATTTAATAGCGAATAACCCCACAACACACACACACATTCAGACTTTGTAACTTGATCGGAGTTACCCTGGTCAAGCTGGTAACGTTAGAACAATATTATGAACTCTGTTGTCAAAATTACCATGCAAAACCTAGACCTACCTACCTGTAATGAATCTTTGATAAAAATTCGACAACTTTTTCGAGTGTTTGTTGTCATGTGACCGATTTTATGTTTCCTGGTATTGTGTGTTATTGATAGCATCGGTGTAAAAACCGGTCTTAAAAGGACCCCAGTTATGTCATGTGATGTTTTACACTTGTGTCATTGGCTGTTTTATTTAAGCCCTTCACAGTAAATTTCCATCACGTCATAGCGTGATTACAAATATGCTCAGATTTTTGAAATAGCGTCACTTTGTTGGGGGGGATCAGGGAGGTCCGTGGTATCATCTCAATCTAGAGGGTTCTCCTTTGAAGGATGGACTTCTAGTGCATAAATAACAACGGGTATGTTTTAAAGTTCTGAGGATATATAGTAGGTCTATCTGTGTAAAACTTTATATGAAGTAACCACGTAGTCTATAGGTAAGTATTATACTGACATATTATTCTTTGTCTGTGCAATGTAAATAAATGTCATCCTATACGATGTTATCACTGCTTGGTTATTAAGAGAGGATATGACAATGAAATGATTGTTAATTTGATAAACTTCTGTATACTTTCCCAATCAATCAACACTCTAGTAAATTTTAATTGCAAAAAAAAATTCAATGTATTTCTTGTTTAGTCTGTCTTAGTTAGGTCGTTAGCGGCGCAACTGACGTCAGACTATGTATTTCTTCTTCGGAACACCTCGACCGATTCGGTCATTTTAGATGTACTGTAATCAGGGCAAGGTGTTCCGAATGTTCCTGCGTAAGTGCACGGCAAATTAATTTGTTCCTGAAAAACGAATCGACATAACATATCGATTTCTGTTGTGTTGTGTGTGAAACAATGTTTAAACTAAAGTTGTACACCTAAATACTGCTTTCTTGTGGGTTTTAATCTAATGATATGGACAAAGATTTTTCTTTTGTAAAACATGTCGGATTCTGTAATACAGATCGCCCACCAACGAGCCTTCGGGTGTGTCCCGTTAATCCAAGGACTGTGTCTAATAACTTACTGTTACTGGCGAGAACACAAATGAGTTAAAGGTTACATGGTACACGTAGATTACGTTATAGAGTAACTTCGGGTCACCGGTCCATTACCGTAGCTAAAGTGTTCAGAATCGTTACATCGCATACATATATGATTCACCTAGCTTTATACATCACTGCTTAAATTGGTTATTATTAAGAGAGGATATGCCACTGAAACGATTATTAATTGGATTAAGTTCTGTATAAGTTTTCAAAGCAATTTACTAGAAATCTATCCACTTACTATGAGGAAGAAAATTATGTTTCTATGTTGCTTCATAAAAACGAAGCAAAAAAGAAATAAACGCAAAGGAAAAAGATATATATTTCTTTTGCAACAATCATTCGCATCAATACTTCAGTGACTTAAACTTTGATAAACACTGCAGTGCACTGGAATTAATATTGTATTGAACTAGATTGTACTTCAATGTTTTGTCTACTGCACTACCTTGTTCGCGGTGTGTGCACTACAAAGTGAACTCATGCTAAATTGACTACTAAATGTCTAAATTGCGCTAGTTTCTGTGAACTTCATTTGATTGCTTTGGCAATCATATTTGAAAAATATGATTTGTTTCTATTTTGTTTACAATTTGATGTTTTTGGTTTTTGGATATAGATGCAGTTATGTTATTGATGTTCTTATTGCTTCGGTTATAAACAGTATGAGAACTGAGATGGTGATTTTAGAGAGAAACAAATTAACCTTGCTTTTCTATGGAGACAGTCGGGTTTCCATTTGCATTGATAGCTGCTAATTTGATCTTTTTCTGGTCTTCCTGAATTTGCCGATGTTCTTTAGAGAGATTCGTACACAAACAAAATTTTAGGTGAGTTTTCAAAACATGTGCCAGCGTTACTGTTCGTTATTTTATCCGAATTTTGAGTACCGCCTTGATAACATTCTTATACAGTACACAATAGTGCTTACCCCTACCTTGTGATGTAAGCAAACATGTGTGTATTTGTTAATTCGTTCATGATATACCGGATCGTAATGTTGAATTTACCTCTCATTTGCATGTAGCTATTGAGCTATGACAAACTATTCTATGACTGACTTTTCTATCTCCCCCATTGTCCAGCACTGTCGAAATGTAATTGACAGCAGCAAGCCTCCTGTCACCCGAAGACAAAAATACATAGATATATACAGCTGATTTGTTGTATACAAAGTTACGTATTTGTAACACTATACAATTAACTGTGAAGATATTTCAGCTTTTCCCCCTACTTACGGTGTTAACGTGACGCTATTGTATCGGTAATCAAGAGCTTGCTCCTAATATCATAACTTCCATAATGGATGTCGACTGTTGACGAACTAACAAACATACAACTCAGAATTCCCAAAGTTGCAGGTTAATGAAGGAAACGCACACGTTTTATGGTCTCCAAGATGCTGCTGCATGGAAATATTCTATTTCTTTCTGCGATATGAAGGTCTGTGATTTTTTTATTATGTTCATAAGAGTGCCTTGTGGTTTTGTTGTCACTGCCATAGCGGGTGTCATCATTTAAAAAGAAGACGCTTACCTTTCGGGACACCTAGTCTTGTTCTTCTTGTAGTTTTAAATGGTTTCCATGTAAAGATTACGTTTGTTCATATTCTGCCCTATTTTATCGATTTAAAAAAATATATATATATATTGTATCTGCTGGTCAGAAAACACAGGGATAAGACTACTGCTATTGTTGTTGTTTACAAAGCTATGTATTTGTTACTGATAAGTAATATTATAATATTAGTTGTGGAGTTTGAACTGCTGGTCAGATAAAACAGTGAGTAGACTACTGATATTGTTGTTGTTTACAAAGTTACGTATTTGTTACTGATAAGTAATAATATTACATTCGTTGGTCAAATAAGACAGTGGTCAGTCTACTGAAATTGATTCACAAAGGATTATATGCAATGGGATTTGAACATGTTGAGTAAGACTTCAGTAAAAAAAAAATGGTTTCAAAACAAAAAACGTGTGCTCGCCGAGTGTAATGAGTAAAGAGGTATGGCGGAAAACTGCCCGTATTTCCCTAAGTCGGCATTTATGAAAACGGGGAAAAAAATTAAGGAGTAAAACATTTCGGGTAGCAAAAATGCATACAAAAGATACAAAACCAATTGAATATGAATTTTTAAACTGCTGAGAAATTAGGTATTGCTAATATGATACTGCAAATATAGCCATATACACTATATCTATGAAAGTGATGGGGTTTCCCGGAATTAAAAAAATACTTTCAACACTTTCCCATCCGAGGACCAACTTTTGAATAAACTTTTTGTGACCGTGATGTAATTTGCAAAAACAAATCGTATTACGGAAAAGTGGTCCTCCTTTGGGAAAGTGCTCAAAATAATGAAAAACAGGGGTGATCAAGTTTCTCTAAACTGCGACCGGTGTTTCTCGGGTTAAATAAGTTTGTAATTGCCAACATCTATATGTTCTATGTAGCCGAATGTGTAACGCAGTTTACTTGCGACTAGAAATTAAACGGTGCAGGTTCGAATCCTTCTTCAGTTATATATTTTTTTTAAATATTTAGGCATGTGATCATTTTCCTTAATAAGGCAATAGTTTTTTTAAATCGATGGAAAATTTTGTTTTCATTTTAATAACATACCTATTGATTTATCAGTTTTGTTAGTAATAATTTCTTTACTATTTAGTGCGACATACTTCTATCGAAGCATGTCAACAAATCCCTGTACACGTGTACAGTACAGCTACGCTTTGTAGGTAAGACTATTTTTGATGAAATTTATGAATTGTTTTACCCTCCAACTGGCAATAGTAATTATATCAAGTGCTTAAACACTAACAAATAATGCCGAAATACCAAATATGTGGTCTGTTTACAATAATCTATTCTTAGACACGGAAAATACCTGAGGACGCGTCATAACAGTGCACGGTTGGATGCGCGCACTAGCGTAACATAGCTTTGGGGAAATAGGCATAGCAACCCGCCATATCTCTTTCATATGTTACTCTAGATCAGTGTGATTTAAGTACCAGCTACGATTTTCAATATACATGTACTATAACAAGCGTTTCGAGAAGCAATATCTAGTCAAGCTATATTTTTTCAAATATGAGACGCAGAAGATTAATAGTCAAACACTTTTTGTAGAAATGCAAAATTTAAACCTACACAGATAAAGCCAACAATGACATGCAGACATTGTAGGCTTGGCATGTTTAGAGTTACAAAGCTCCATGTCTGAGCGGTGTACACGCACCTAGCTCATGTTACAGACTTTAGACTGCTCTATGTGAATGCTACTAAATAATTAATCTGAATACCCCAGTCGTTATCACGTAACATTTGTAGTAATACACCTATAAGCCATGTCGGTACTTAGTTTTTATATGTGTACATAGAAACCCGAGTCCAGAGACAATATCTTGTCCTCTAATACTCCGTCGTAAAACTGTGATCACTATTGTCCTGATATAATTGGTGACGTGTGATACTTATTCAAAGTCAGTCTACCGGGGAAGCAGTTTGTTTGATAACGATTGTACAGGGCATTATGTAAGCCTTCATAGGATGGAATGAAGACACGAAATATGACACGGAGTATTCACAAAGATATTTGTACTTTGTGTGTTTTGTTGGAATTCCGTCAAATATTGTGCATTACTTCCCGCCTGAGCGTCAACCAATTTGTTTGACTTTTAAATTAAATGGCGGCTTTTGGAGGAGATACATGTACAAAGTTTTATCCATACACAAAGATACCTTTCCCACAGTCACCGATATCTCCTTAAGTTAGAGGTGTAATTTTTTAAAAGTGATCCTCAGTAAGTTGATCAATACCATTTCATGAATGAATCAGCGTCATTAAACAATGTGTAATTTACTGCATACATATGTAAAAGGCTTCTTTCATGATAACCAAAGAATATTATTACATATATATGATCATATACATATATTATATAAACTCATCTTGTATCTACTTTATAGACGAATTACTTGAACGATATGCTTATCATTATTTATTGTACGCTTGTTAACCAGTATAAATATCCCACACGTACATGTATACATTCAACTGTACTCTTTTTTTGTTGTTTATTGTACGCTTGTTAACCAGTATAAATATCCCACACTACATGTATATATTTCGCAGTACTCTTTTCATTATTTACTGTACGCTTCATAAATAAACTGGTATCAAAACTAGCATGTTATATGAAATATATTAAATAGTGTGTTGACTGTGTACTTACTTACTAGTACAATTATCACACACATACATTAAACCGACAACCAAACACACCAAGAGGATGCACAGATTTATGGTTGGGGTTTTGCTAAGAAAATGAAAATAAAACTGTAAAACGCATTTTTTTTCGCGCTGATGAATTGACTTGTAGGTTCTATATTATTTTTTTGCCAAAGTATTAATATCTGGAACATTAATTTTATGAAACTTAAACTAAATATTTATATTCTGATTTCAATATACAGAAAATAACATTAATGTCGCGGTCATATGGTTAAGGTCAAGGCAACGGCTACCGAATCAACAGGATATCATCGAACTCGCTTTTTATTTCTTAACACCGTAACTCCACTGCTTGATTGCACATACACCAGCAAACTCAACTTCAATCATTATACACTTAACACCGTAACTCCACTGCTTGATTGCACATACACAAGCAAACTCAACTTCAATCATTATACACTTAACAACATTGCTATTATTGTCCAATTGGACAGAGTGAGATATTTCTTTTCGTGAAACATTTTTTGCATATATATCCTTTTATCATTTGTTTTTATTCAGGGTTCTTTTTCTTTGCAAAACGGAAAATAAATGTGCTATGTTGAAAATTTGTGCTTGCCCATTGGTAAGAGTATATTTCCTTCATGACTTTACGTTAGTGTGATAGAAATACCTGATACGACTATCAATCTAAATGATATATCAAATACGTGTTTAGAGACAATATCTCGTCAAGCTATATGTTTTTCGACGTATGAGACCCAGAAGATAAAAAGTCGAGCCATTGTAATCGACGTGTGAATTTTTAAAGGACGCAGACAACGCTATAAAATCTCCAGTCGAACAAACGATAGCACACTTTGTAGGATGTCCCTGTTTTTTTATTGTGCCTTTGTTTTATCGAGGAACAAAACCTGAATGATACTCTGTACATACACCTCGCTCCTGTTATAGACTTAAGATTGCACAATATACAATGTTTTTGCTAATAAATAAATCTCAAATCATTTATCGCTGTTTTTTTATAAACATCAATATTTGCTGGTAAAAAAAGGCCTACATGTACATACATTTAAGTAAGAACAGTATGTGAAAACCCATTGCTGTATATATTTACGCAACCAGTACAAACGACCATATACATGCTAAAACGTACTGTGTATTATAAACATGCATTACAACCCCTCAGTCCCACCATCGTCTAAACCAATAAAGGTATGTTCACCGCGTGAGTACACCTTCTTCGGTTACTCTACATAAGTGTGATTCAAATATCTACTATTTTATAATATACTTTAACGTAATTGTCGAGTAGTAGTACCTAATCAAGCTATATTTCTCGATTTGCGAGGTGCAGAAGATTAAATGTCACAAAAATGTTATTGAAATGTAAGTTTAAAAGCACACAGACAAAACTTTAACGTCTCTAGTCAAACACATATTTTTGAAGGTTTGGCAGGTTCTTTTGGTGATGTCTAAATGTGTTATCGTATGCCTGAAATGTGTACTGTACACGCACCTAGCAAGCTCCTGTTACAGACAGCCCTATGTGCATGCTACTAAATTAAAAAGCTAAATAGACGCAATACACGCAGAAGCAATGTAGATATTCAGACGAGATGGACATCTTTTATACGTGTACACTGACTATATTGGGATGACTAATACTCTTTATTTAAACCGTGATCATTGTTGTCCTGATATAATGTTATCGTGCGATTTATAAATGCTTCATACAAAGTCAGTCTACCGAGGAAGACGTGGTTTTAACAAAGATAGTTGTATCGTGTGGTAGTTTGTTGAAAAACAGTCATGTATTGTGCAATAATTCTCGTCTGAGCGTCAGCCCTTTTTTTGAGCTCAAATACAGTGACTCGTTTTTGAAAAGATACATAGTTATTATTCTTATCAAAGCCATTTTCTCAATTATGAAGTGCACTTTTATACCAAAAGTGGTGTTCGGTATTCTTACTCATATTTAGGATATCGTCCCTTAAATTAAGTACCTCTATATTTTTATTTTTATTTTTTCTTACTTGTTAGGTTAGCAGAATTTTTAAACTTCTTTCCATTTATGTTATTGCAACTAAAATTTTCAATGATGATAACCACCATTCTATAAACAAATCTGCATCAATACAAGTATGCAAATTACTGAAGATATTAAAAAACGGTCCTCTAATGATCAGTACACGTTTACTGTTAGAGCAACAATGACCTTACACATACATGATATCAATTTGGGGAGGGGACTATTTGACGGTGAAGCAGCCTTATATTGTAATCGAATTTGATGAAATTTCTTTCTTGTTATTATTTGATATGAATTAATGCTTGTTGCGAAAAATGGTCTATTCAAGTGATAATTCTTCCAATAGGCCTTTATTATGTATTTGAACGTCCATTCTTCACATTGGTGTAGAAGATATACGATTTGTATGACATAAGTTGAGTTTAAATTACATGATCTGAATTCTTTGGCAACATCTATTGTACAAAATATATTTCACTCACATATTTAACATAATCTAAATGATCATTTTTCACTTGAAGGCGTTGGATGCAGAAGACTTACAAGTTCATCATTAAATTAGGGTTGAACTTTCTATAAAAATACCAACTTAAGAAATAACCTTAAAATAATAAATAAAATGTGTAGCATACTCCGTACTGACAGTTGTGATCGCCGCACCGTAATATAACACTAACATCGGGGTCAGGTAAAAACATAGACAAGGAACCGAAATAATAAACTTTACTGGGGAAATGTATATGCATTTGAGGATTCGATTTCTTCTATTAAGGATAGTGGAATCAGTGGTTTTAGACAAACACTCTTACGCATATAGCTACCTTTCCAAACTTCTGGCTAGATGGAGCTATGGGGAACCATATTGTTAATAAGTAGCTGCTATTGATGGTGGTGATGGGTCCAATATAAAAAGTAAGCAAAACAGAATTAAAAATAAATAAAATGAAAACAAATATTGGTATATTATATTTTGTGTACATTCCTACCAGTACAAAGGAACCAATACTTATATACATTTAAGTCTTCTGATTAATCAAATTTACGTCTTATTGCCAGTAATAATGCATTTTAATGTAAATTGTATGTACTTACAGTTAACTTACTCTTAATTATGTACATATACAGGCAGTACAACAATATGTTGCAGCATAATTAATTTCCGGTATGCAGTATATATGATCAAATTTCATAGATCCAAGACATATTGCGTTCATCTTTTCAAGGTGAAAGACTTTGCTGGTGGACTACTGTAATCCACAAAGTTTGCCATAACATTGATGGCCACAGTTATCTCTTTTGAATAGTGGCACGGTACATAGTATATACATCTTTCGCATTAATTTAAAATCAACCATTACTCTTTTGAGTTCTCAAATTGATCTGATATTGCGGTTTTTTGCACTCTACCTTCTGCTTAAACAGTAGTTTTGACCAATTTGCATTGAAACCATTTTTGCCTCTAGCATCACTGATTAACCTAAGGAGGACGAAACAGTTGTATGGTGCATGTAATTTTATTTTTGGCTGAAATTTCTAAATTTTAAAGGTAAAATTAATTAAGGTGTTGTCTTGTGTTCCCACTATCAAGTACACATGTTTATACACAACTGTATCTAACTGTGTATTATCCACACAAACACCTACTTACAATTGCGCCATTTCTATAGTATATCGGGTCGGCTACTACTTTGTCGGTTCTCTGTGACACTACCATTGTCTTTCGTTATAACCCTGAAAGAATAAATGCTTTATTCCAAGTCAATCTATTGAAACTTTGTACATTGTGTGTAGACATCAATTGGAAACGAATAGCGATATACCAGTTGAATCATTGTAAACAAGCAGAATATTTAAATCATTTGATTTTGACATAACTATGTGTACCGTACCTTAGACTGTTTTGAAATGTTTATCATATGATCTGATCATAAAAGAATTGTCCCCGTAATAGCGTCGTCACCCCATCCCAACACACAGCAGTGGAGGTCCTGGATATATGCCATCTACGCCTGTAATTACCACTACAACCATACCCATACAAAACTGTATAGCAATGCGTTAGAACGCCGTGGTTAGATCTTGACGTCACCATTGTCCTGTTATTATGGTATCATGTGATTTGTCATAACTTCATTAAAAGACAGTCTACTGGGGGAGAACTTGATTGGTCAACGATCATATGTTTTGAGTCTTCATAAAGAAAACGATGAGTCATCGTAAAAAGGATATTTATAAAGACACCAATATATCAGATGGTTTTAAGAAAAATGTACCGTGAGCTGTTTTGTTAGATTTCTTGTCAAATGATTGTGCAGTATCTATCGCAATACTTCCTTTATGTAATAACAACCATTTGGCGCGACAGAGTGTGTTTACACTCGGATACATTTCCGACATTATGAAGAAAGATACGTAGGTTTTACCTTTGTACCAAAATACCCGTTTCTAGCCACCGCCTACTTTATATAGTCATGTACTCTAATAGATCTTTTAAAATGACGATTTAACAGACCAATCCGTGAGTAGGACGCTAAAGTGTTCTGGATTCCTCTTATTGCCAAACATTAGAAATCCACCACATGTTTAGGGTATCGTCCCGAAAACTCCCTTAATTTACTACATGTATATCTCGTGTTTTTCCCCAATACGCTTTTTAGATAAAAACAAACATATCTGCTATACTTGTCTTTTCACGAATAACAAAAGTTAACGTAAATGCTACAAACGCTCCTACTCATGAATATTACGAGGCCTGTATCCCCCGTACTGACAGTAATACTGAACGCCTACTTACCAGTACAAGTATCCCAAATATACCCGGATGCAGGAATTAAGTTTTGTCGATGATAATTTTAAAAATGGAAACACCGTAGAAAGAAAGAACTTAAGTGTTTTTCTGGTATGCAAGGAATTGAAACAGAGATTCTATTCTATTTACAGTCAGTTATGAACGATCTTCAAATGATTAACAAATTTTTGCCAATTGACGTTATCAAAAACTCGTTCAAGATGATCTCACTGAATGTATCAGTACAAATGACCGTAAACATCAGTGTAGATATATTTAACCGTGTACCACCATATAGACAAGCTTGTATGTTTATTCTGCGCCTACCTTCTAGTACAAATGACCCTAAAAATATATACTGAAAGGATAAAGAAGCGCATGGGAACAACATATGCAACAATTATTTAACTGCTTGGCATTAAGTTATGAAAACCGAACAGACGAGTATCTTGGTCACCTTCACTCAAACTGGTGTCTAAAGTTACTAAACCCTCCAAGGTACCGTGCCACATAGTGAAAGTGTTAAAATGAAGCAAAAACAAAAACAAAACAAAAACAAAAAAAACGTGCAGAATAATTATGACAAGTTCGTCAACATATCTGTTCATACCACTTGATACTCCTTAAGGTATACACATCGCTTCCGCTATTTACTGTCAAGTTGAATATCTTGCAATCATGGCACAGCTGATGGAAAAACTAGAGGGGTCAGGCTATTGCATTATTGAGGTAAGGTCAAAGGCAACACAATGTTGCTTTGCAGTTCGGTGTGAATGTTTCAATCATAGAATGTCTTGTCCGTCGTCTGTGAGACAACGGAAAGGTGTCTGACTGATCGCGATCGGGACGTCTGCGCGTAACGACGCGACATCAAGACAGGGATATTTGTCTTGCCCACCCATGAAATTGCCACGTTACTGCCTTGAAACCACTATTAATACGGTAAGGAATCATTCACCACATTCACCCAAAACCTGTAAGGAACCGATTGCGCGTGGTTGGTCTGCGAGATCGTCGTCCTTCCGTTGGTCTGCCTCTCACTCGTGTACGTCGGGCGCGTCGTATCGCTTGGTTGGCGGCACATGTTCCCAGACGATTTCCGATGAGGCAATGGAGACGTGTCTTTTTCAAAGATGAGTCCTGGTTTACTCTTTTGTTGTCCTGACGGTCGACGTCGTGTATACCGTCGTCATAGGGAACGTTTTGCCGGCACTTGCCTATTTGAGAGGGATAGGTTTCGGGGAGGTTCGATTATGGTCTTGGGAGTGATTTCTTAAGTCACCATTGATTGTGGTAGCCGGAAATTTAACAGCCGTAAGATATAAGGATGATTCCTCTGCCTGGTTGCAGTTCCATTTTTGCAACAGCATCACCTAAGTTTCCAGCATGATAATATCCGGCGGTGTAGCCAGAGTTTGTCAAGACCATAAAACCATAATATTAACCAACTCGGCTGGCAGCCGTACCGTCAGCAATCGAACATTTCTGGGACTAACTTGACAGGAGGATAAGGGGGCGTCGGAATGCCCCCGCTACTCTCGACGAACCAATTAAGGGCTGCCTTATTAGAAGAGTGGTCAATACCCCCGTTAGAAAGGCACTGATTGACTGTGACAGATGCGCTAGGGGGCATACGAGAGATACTGAGTCGGGCGATTTCATGTTGCAATATTGGTGAGGGGGAGGGGGTCCTGTCAAATGTTCTTCAATTACTCATGAATAATCGGTCATAATCTAATGAAGTTCTGGTGATTGTTTATTTAAGACGACCTTTTTATACTTAATATAAAACATTGTATTTACAGTAACATTCAAATACATAACATTATATTACCTCAAATGTTTACCATGCGTTTCCCTATTCTTTCATTATATGTAAATATATGTTCATGTACATTTAACCCAAAGACCTGTATGGAATTATTAGCATAACTAACTGTACACATATACAAAAGAACGAATGATTATAAACAAATATAAAGTTTATCATGTACTACCGTAACACACTCACATTGTACTTTGATGTTTGCTGTACGCCTACCTACTTGTGCCAATTTTCCTATACATACATTTATTAGTCCTTTACATCCAGCACAAACACACGTATGCATTTACTGCACACCTATCTATCAGTGGAGATTCATAAACAAACATTTAATCCTGCACCGCCCTAAAAAATGGTGCTTGCATACCGAAAATCTGTGAACATATCCATACATATATATACACAATATTTGGCCTATTTCTAAACCAGTATTTTACTACGTCCCTAACATTGACAATAAGTAATCTGAGATGTTATGAATGTTTTCTTTGGTCTCTTAAATAGAGAATTGGATTGTGTTGAGGAAAACGACTTATTCGCTTGTGCTAGCGTGAAATAAGGTTTTATAAAGACGACAATTAGGTCACATCCTTTCAACGTACATGTTATTGCATATACCTTGGTTCCTGTTGGGTTTACATCACATGACTGCGTAACTTATATCTACATAGTGCTTACATCCATATATAATGGAGACATATTAGGAGATATACATTTTACAGCGTTCATCGTAGTTGATATAAAAATCTGTTAGCAAAACTTACACTACCTAACTAAAACATTGAAACTGATGATGGTTGAACTAAACGAATTCCTCGGGAATTCTGATAATATCAGTTTAGTTTTTTCTTCAAAATAAAAAAAAAATATGAAAATCTTAGCAATGTTGCATTAGTAAATCAAGCTTGCAGAATGCAAAAATGTGTTCCTTAGACTGTCCGTTTTTGTTTCAATGTGTTCTTTCATTTCCAATTCAATCCTTTTAGTGTTTAGATGAATTTTGTTTTTATAACGTTAATTGATTTGCAGCCTAAATTCAGCAACATGGTATAATTGATTAAAGAAAACAAACTGAAAAGTAAGTCATTAGTTTCTGGTGTTATTTAATTAATTTGTAATTCTATTACATTGTAGTTCTATGATAATTTAGTTGATGAACACATTAGAGATTCTCGCAGGACAATGGAAGACCAATTGCGCACCAGCGCACCTTCTTAATATTTCTCGTGACATTATGAACGTTTAGGCTCCTTTAGGCTATTACACGAACATATGTGAAGCGATTTTTCAAACGGTGGTCAAATGTTATTGTTCAGTTTTCTTATTCAAATTTGGGGCATGGACCAGAGATATATCAACTTCGCAGTATGTGAGGCTATTATTTCAAGAATATTTCATTACTTTTTGGTTTTGATCATACTACCAGGAAACGCTCTTGTCTATATCATGTATAATTGTAATACTATTCTGACCTATTTGAAGATATTCATTAGTCAATAGTGGTCACGTTTACTTTTCCTTAACGCCCAATGTTATTATTTATTTTGAAAAGAGCTTACTTTAATAAAAAATGTTGCATGGCATACACAAATATAAACACTACAAAGGTAAACTAATTCAGATGATTTACAAAGTGTACAATATGAATCGAAAAACTGTATGAAAACAACATTTATGTATTGCATCTATATGTGTTTTTGAATCCAATGTTTTTTTTCTTTCTTTACAGAAACACTCATGATGTGTAAACACATAATGTGTACGATAGCGATTCTATAAATAGGGCAGTCAACTACTTATTCGATTATGGCTGTTTCTCTCTGATAATAATCAGAGGAAATTAATGCAAAAAGCACGGGTGTAAAGTAGTATCAGGTACAAAACTCACTGAAAGTTGTGGTTTGCGTTCAGTCTTTACACAATAGCTTACTACAAACGTCTAGCAAGTGTTCTCAAAGTCAATTCCACGAAGACCAAGAAAAGCCATACGCATAAAAATAACATTACAAATCTTTCTGTACACAAATAAAACTATAAAGTACTTCTAAGAGTTATTTTCATATAGTGTGCAATATGAATCTTGTTTTTGAATCCAATGTTTTTTCTTTCTTTACAGAAACACTCATGATGTCCTGTCAGTTTAGTCGGAACTTTAAATCGTGTCATATTTTGGTGAAATAGCTTTGCAAATGTTTCCTGAATATGGTGCTAATACGTTTGAAGTCGGATGATTTGAATTCGGTTTACGGAAGCCGAGTAGAGACTACTCAATGAAACAATGAATTGTGATACTTGTTTGCAATTAAATCGTCCAATGATGTAGTCTCAAAAATTAGCGTTTTCTTATGGATTTACCTTCTGGATTATGGATTCCTATTACTTTAATTTGATGTCAGCATCCAGCCAAACGTAAGGTAAGAAGTTTTTATCTCTTTATATGATATTATGTAATATTTGGAGTTTAGTTTCAATCTCACATGTAAGACGATATTTCAAACTATCGCTTTGATGTATTTATGTACACAAAGTTATCGTGCCGCTTGATTACCTCCGCTCTTTTTTTTTCTCTTTTTACATAGGGAAAGTCTAAAATTTCCTGAAATACGGTGTGAACAATGCAAACGATAAAAAACCAAAAATGGAATTAAATCGTATTTTCTTACGTGCCGTAAACAAATAGATGATTTACATATTATCTGGGCCCTGGGGCTCCGTAAACATAACAATATTTCTTGTTAATTTTGGTACGCTTCTAGTGTTTGTTTTAGCTATTTCTCAGAAAGAACTTTAGGGATCTTTATCAAATTTAATATGTAAGTTCCCTTGGGTCTGTAGTTGTGCATGTTTAATCTTGAGACTGATGGGATAAATACAATTAGTGGCTGTCCAATGTCCAATTGCCATCTTAGGTTTTGACTGCTCTGAATATTTATTGCTATTTCTCAGAAAGGACTGAAGGTATCTTTCTCAAATTGGACTTGTAGATTATTATTCGTCTTTAGTTGGGCATGTTTACTTTTGAGACTGTTTGAAAAACAACATGGCAGACCAACAGGTGGCCATCTTGGATGTTGACAGTTTTGTTAGCTCTATTTCTCAGAAAGTACTCAGAGGGATCTTTCCCAAATAAGATATGCATATTCCCCTAGATGAAAATGACCCTGCCCTAATAAAAATTAATCCCTCATTGACAGCACCTATAATTATGATAGAATTACAATTTTGTATCACTCCAAATGTAATTATGCAATTTTCATACAGGAACATTTGTCATAAATACAAATTACATGTCAGTAAAAGGTTGAAGTTGATGTACAAGATTCCCGTTAAGGTTTTCCAGCATGGGACTGGGTGATAGTACCAGTAAGGCAATTGAAGAGCAAAGCAAGTAAAAGATCATCTTTTTTAGATCTGATTAAGATCCTTTCATGGTTTGCGCCAAGATCCCTCTAGTATCTCTTGGTAGTTAATACTACTTTACAATACGTCTCAAAGCGGTTCACAATTTATTTCCCGTGGTTATTGGGCCTTTGCAACTAGCCAATATCTTTCTTAACTCCCGGGGGAGCTTACCGCCGCTGCTCTTTTGGCGCTCACAGCTAGCATTCAACAATTCTAGTACTGTCCAACCACGTACCCATTTACAGCTGAGTAGACTGGAACAAGCGGAGTAAAATATCTTGTTCAAAAATACAACACAGTGTCATGACGTGACTAGAACCCGCAAGTCACCACGAGCCCGGCGTCCTACCACTACACTACCGTGCCTCTTAAGTGTTACACCATACAAGTGGGCAGTATTCCACTAATGATGAAAGCTGTCTTATATCCTTTATCGGACAAGATGGATACCACCTCAATTTATCAGAACTTGGCTAATAGCAGCATTATTACTATATTTTATTCCCCCAGCCATTTTTTTCATAAATATGTATATACATATACTGCTTCGAAGCAGATATATATATACATATATAATTATTTTGATAGGGGATGCCAGGGTTGGGGAGCCCTGGAGTCAGCCCCTGAACAATATGGTGTCCTCACGCAGCGGGGTTCTCAATCAACATCCATCAGTCAAACAATAAATAAATAAATAGGAAGGGCAATGGGAAAATAAAATATTTGCAAATAGAGTACAGGACAAGAACACAAAACATACTTCTTTCACACCCTAACAAATTCCATATACACCATAATATTACAAACAAGGATAAACATAGCATGTCTAGTATACACAAAAAAACATAATACACATACAAATACATCCACATATATACTCATACACACATACATATATACATGAGACAGACAGACACACAGAGACAGACACACAGACAGACACCTACCCCGGCAGACACACAGACATACATACATGTATACATTGAGACAGACTTACATACATTGAATCAGATGCGTCATTATGCACGCATAATTTCAAGCAGTTAAGAAACAATGATAAATACACTGTGCAAACAGTGTCAGATGTACATATATATATATATACACACATGTGTATGAATATTTCTATGACACATGCATGTGGTCATTCACATTGATATGGACTTATACTGACATAAATTTTCAAATATCATTTTAAAACCGGTTTCCATACAGGTTTTTATGTCCGCTAAAAAGGTAATTATAAAACAAAACAAAACAAAAAAAGCATATACATCCATTCACACCATAACATACCGGATATATGCAGTTTTATTTCTATCAGATTACAGTATTTCACCACAAAATCAAGATGAAATTTAAATATTCATTTCAAGAGAAAGAGTATCAATTATATAAACAACGATAAAAAGATGTATGGATTGTGTAAACTTGTTTTTTTCAATCTGTTAAAAAATATCTTTCCATTCAAACCATATTTGATCAAATTTTTTGTTGGGTAATTTTTTTGAGGCTGAATTGTTTTCGATGTTATATCGGAATGCTAGAAACTCAACCAAACCATCTAACGTGAGTCTTTGTTTTTTTCTTGATACAGTGTATATATAATATTTTGCATAAAAGATAATAAAGTTAATTGGTAAGGCAACATTTTCTGTCTCTCCAAATAATACTGTTTCTAATCTAAAATCTTTTAATTTATCTAAGTTGTGATATATTTTGTTTTTCAAATCTTGCCAAAGTCTGAAAGAATGAGGACATTCCCAGAAAATATATCCTATAGTTTCAATTTCTGTGTTACACATATTACAAAGGTTATTGTTCAAAACACCAGTAGTTTTCAAGTATTTTTTTAGTGGGAGAATGCGATTTTGTAACCGATACTGGAACCACTGTAGTGTATCCGTTGTACTTTTAAAAGGAATTCTATACAATCGTTTCCAGTCTATGTTTCTAAAACTTTCTTTTGATTTCCATTTTATTTCAGCTGTATTCGCACATTTATTTTTATTATTTAGGGTAACATACATGTCTTTACAATCTTTCTTGCTTTTCATAATTACAATGTACATTGATATGGTGTGGCATAAATGGTCTTTCAACAATGTTTTCAGCAGTTAAATTAAAGTTAAATTGTCTATATCTTTGCTTATTTGATTGGCATATACTTTGATAAATTAAGAAGTTTTCTGAATCGATATTGAATTTTAGTTTAAAGTTTGCAAAGGTTAGAAAAGAATTATCTTAAACATTCAGTGCTTCGCTGAATGAGTTTCTAGATCCATTTAAATTTATTGAGGTATCATCTGCAAACTGTGAGAGCTTATGATCTTTCTGTTGGATTGTAATGCCATTGATATTTTTATTGTTTTTTTATAAGAATAGCCAATATTTCAACTACAAGTAAAAATAATATAGATATGGGGAGACAGGATCCCCTTGTCGACAACCCCTTTGTATATCAAACAAATTTGACAGTATACAATTTTAGCTTATTGCAGAGTAGGTATTTTTGTATAATGTTTTTATCCATTTTTTAATGCTTTCACCAAAATTAAAAAAATCAACTACTTTGTTTAAAAAATTCCATGAAAATGAATCAAAGGCTTTTTCGAAATCTATAAATATTAAAAGTCCTGGTATGTTGTTTATTTCAGTAAAATTCATAATGTCGTAAATAAGTCTGGTGTTTTCCCCAATATATCTTCAACTTAAAAAACCTGTTTGTGTGTCTGAAATAATAAAATCCAGAACCGTTTTTAGTATGTTGGCTATACAAGCTGAAGCAAGTTTACATATCACATTTAATAAAGTAATTGGCCTCCAATTCTTTATAAAATGTCTAACTGTATCTCCTTTGGGAATGCAGGTGATAATACCCTGTCTTTATGTAATGGATAGCTCCCCCTTATTATAACCAAATTCCAATGCTCTGATAATAAAATATTTTAAATTATTCCAAAAAGAAATAAAAAATCACCAGTAAAACAATCAGAACCGGGTGATTTACAGTTTTTCATATTTTTTAATGCAAAGAATAATTCTGTTTCTGATAATTCGCCTTCTAAATTTACACGTTAATTGTCTGTTAGTTTTACATATTCTAAACCATCTAAAAGGCTGTCTAAATTAACATCTTCAATATTATCCGAATGGTCATCATATAATTGTTTGTAAAAGTTTTGTATTTCCCTAAGAATTTCATCTTGACTAGTTATGATTTTTCCATTTTCTTTTTCAACTTTAACAATAGTTTTATTAACATAATTGTGTGTTTTTAAGTTGCAAAAATATTTTGAAGTTTTTTTCCCCTTCTTCCTGCCAAGTTACTTTTGATCTTATCATATGCCCTTTCATTTTTATTTTTCTAATATTCTCTAGCTCGTTTGTTTTCTGTTCGTATTCATCTAAATTAGTAGCCCATGTATTATTTTCTTCTAGTTTTCCTAGATCAGATATTAGTACTTTTTTCCCTTTTGTCCCGTCCTTTTTTTATAAATGATGAATACGATATAGTTGTTCCCCTGATTTCGTTTCTAAAAGAAGTTGTTCATCTATACATAATATTAGTTCTTCATCAGTTATATTACAGATATCTTTATCGTAAATTGGTGATGAATATTGCTGTTTGATCTTATATATGGTAGCTTTGATATCTTGCACATATTCTTGATCATATAAAAGACTGTTATTAAATTTCCATAGGCCCCTCCCTTTCACAAAGTTATTTAATTTAATTTCTAGTGATATTATAGAATGGTCTGATCTGTAACCAACAAAAATATTAACCTTCTCAATATATAGTTTAAAATATTTTCTGAGGTGAGGAAGAAGTCCAATCTAGCTTGTTTTATAGGGTTTTTCTTCCGCCATGTATTCTTTTATAGGTAGTATGAAAAAGTCTAAATGGGTCAATTAAATTTGTTTCCTCAATCAGTTTAAAAAGTCATGTACGGGCATTTGGGTTGTTTATATTTACATAATTGTTTGTGTCTTTTTCCTGATCTAAAACCAAATTGAAGTCACCACAAATTATGCAACAAGCTTAAGGCTTGCTAAAATTATTAATCTGCCTATATATTTTTTCATAAAAATCTGGATCATCTTTATTGGGACCATACAAATTTATTAATGAAATCTATCTTTTTCAATGCTTATATCAAGGGCTATTACATTTCCTTCTGTGTCTTTCCATTTACTGTGAATCTCAAATTCAAAATTATTATTAAAAAATATGCAAACTCCCCTTGAATTGTTTCTGTAAGAGCTAAAAAAGCATTTATATCCCCATTATAATGCTATTTCCCTTTACTGTTCTTTTGTAAAATGTGTCTTGAAGACATATAATATTATAATCTTTATAGTACTTTTTTAACTAATTAAATATATAATTTCTTTTCTCCTTCTGCCCTAAGCCTCTACAGTTTGCAGATGCTATTTTATTGTTATTTGACACTATCATAAAAAATATCTACTATTATTGGTTCTCTCAGAAGCTGAGTAGATTTCAGTTGAAAAAATAAGTTTATTAAAAAATGAAATGCAATTAAAAAATGGGTAGTTAAACTGCAGATCTCAGGTACAATCCATACACATTCACTTACATTTCTATCAGCTAGACACATATACATCACATACTCTACACATATTCTAACACTAAACACTGATGATAAACAATCAAATAGAATTAACATCAATACGTTAATACTATACATGAACAAAGGCGAGGTAATTGACTGTACATTTCCGCAAGACGGTATCTATCTCACAACTCATTCATCACATGCCTGATTTATCTGATGTAAAGGACACAGGAGATCGCTTCGCTATTCCATATGTGATAAAAAAAAACTTGAAGACAGTGCTATATTACAATCACAGTTATCTGTATTATTGTTAATATATCAATAAATGTGATTTAAATGTCTGAAACACGCATATGCCATACTGATATGGGTCACAACACACATAAACATATGCTAGGAGACATGAAAATCACAATTTTTATAAATCACCCAAAGGCCTTTACAACTATGAGTAGTATTTGGTTTTAGCATTTTTGGAAATGAAGAAGAAGTTTTTTTTTATTTTTTTTCTAAATTTTCCACTTTTTGGCCCCTAACTAAACCCCCTAGGGGGCCACACCCTTATTTTATAAATTAATTGAGCCCCTGGTCCCAGGGATGCTTCATATCAAATTTAGTTAAAATCCAATCAGTCGTTCAGGAGATAAAGGCTTTTAAAGGGAAACGTTGACGCCGGACGACGGACGCCGCGGTACGGCATAAGCTCACTTGCCCTTTGGGCAGGTGAGCTAAAAACTTCTAGGCTATTAATTATCATATTTGACAATGTACGTTGTTTGTTATGTTTTTCACTTCAAATCAGACTTTCTGATTGATCGATTTAGTTTGGGGAAAACATGTCATTTTGTGACATAAAAAACATATATCAACTTTATTTTTATTATTACGTTACACTTGTTTTTCAACGGTGTCAAATTAAATAATATTTATCATATTGTATGTTTTGTTTCAGAATACTATTGTAAAGAAACAGTTTGCCATGGAATCAAATGTGAATGCAGAGCTAAAAGATCTCCATAACAAAATGGTGTGCAACATAAGTACCGAAATATTTGGAGACCAATTGGAGAAAGTGAAATTTCTATTTAAGGATAATCCGCTGACACCGTTTGATATGTTTCAAATTAAAAACATCGAAACACTCTTCGAACGTCTAATGAATTACGAAACAATTGATTATGGAAATTACCAAAAGTTTGTAACCGCAATCAGTTGCATACATCCGCGCGTGTGTTCAATAGTACAAAGACATGCTGAGAAAATCAACAAACTGCAGGGTAACCTAGACGATCAAGGTAGGCTATGGGTGTTTTCAAACGATCACTATGATAGAGAACCTAAAAATAGCCACAATCCCTTTGTTATCGAGATGCATAACAACAGACACATATCCACCAGTTTTATAAAACCGTCCTGGACTACGTAGTTGTAGCTGCTTTCTTACTATCACTTATATTGTCATCTTAAAATTTAAAAGCGTCATGTATTTCTCTAGGAACATAACGGATTTGTCATCATGCGTAGTTTTCCAAACAAAATGGAAAGAAATGAAAACATATCAGGCCCTTTGATTTCCGGTGTTCTTCTGTTCTAGTAGTTTGTCAAGACATATGTAACGGTCTTCGCCCCTGGCGCAACCCTTTATATAGAGAGCACGACTACTTTAAACTGTCACTAATTGCTTATAACAAACCCCCGGGAAATTATGTGGTATTTCCAAACCAGTACCTAATGACTGACTATATCACTATATCTAAGGAACTTAAGAACTAGAAAAAAACATAGGAAAAGTTTACGCACACCTTTACGGTAACCGTTTATTAAGTATGAAAGGCCGTTCATGTCAAAAACGAGATAAACTAACGCGTTAGCATTTAACGCGTTAAAACATCATTTAACGCGTTAAACAAGGATTTAGCGCGTTAAACAACAATTTAACGCGTTAAAAATAGTGTTAACGCGTTAAATGCTATCACGTTAGATATACACTTATATCGCGTTAAGCCCTAACGCGTTAGCATTTAACGCGCTAGCGTTAACTACATGTTTATTGCGTCAAACAATATTTTATCGCGTTAAATACTAACGCGTTAAACTTGACAACCAATCATATGCGTCCTTGCATATCAGCATTGTGAAACCAAAATGCAACTTATTCCGTCTTAGCGTATTGCAGAGTTATCTTCTCTTGTGATCAGGTATTGATTGTTACGTCATTGGTTTTTGTGAGAAAATTACGTCGTTTTCTCAAAAATTGATGACGTTACTCTCACAAACAAATGACGCAACAATTAATACCTGATCACAAGACAAAATAGTTGCTGAGGGGCGTATGTAAACCACGATTGAAAACGCTTGTTGTCGGTTGAAGACGCTTTTAAGGAGGACCCCATAATGATATTTCCAACGATTCTTATAGAATAAACACTCAAATGACCCGGCCGACTGACATAGTTCAAGCGGTCAAGAGAGTTCACAAAATGGCAACATTCACACACACTAGCAGCGACCACGCTCTCTGCAAAAACATTACCTTTCTCGCTCTCTCCGGACGGTTCTGGACGAACGGTTAATCAAGATAGTAAAGTATTTACATTTGAATGAAAATCGTATTGAACATTGGGAAACACTTGAATAAGATTGAATATCGTTTGAATGGACGTTGTTTAAAAAAAGTGCTTGACAACTCAAGATATTTACAACATTCAAACTAGGCCTACTGTCACACTACAGTCAGTGACTATTATTGATCAATGTATCAAAATATCATGCTTCATAACAAACAATCCAGTAAAATACCACATGTTTTTACAATATAACAATTGTGCCTATATAGTACATGTTAACTTTATCCCATCGTGTAAAAACAATTCTCGTCGTCAGAAGGCTACTGTACTACATGAACGTTATCGCAGCTACGTTATCGCAGCTAGATATGACTTTAGCTGTCATTGCTTTACAGAATTAATTTCTCGACCAATTCTTATAAAACTTACACACTTTTTGATAGTTGCTATTATGTTGAACGTTATAAAGATGTACAGAAAAATAATAACTTTCTGCAGAGACGTATTGTATGTAATATATACGTCTCTGCTTTCTGCAATTACAAATGGCAACGCGATTACAATTGCAGTGTTTAATCAAGTGTTAAAAAGGGTGAAATTTTGACATTGCCTGGAGCTTAAGAAAGTGGCATTTTTGAAAACGGAAAAAAATATTGATGAGTAAATAATCTTTAGTAGCAAAAATGCATGGAATAGATATAAAACCAATTGAATATGAATTTTTGAACTGTTGAGATATTCGGTATTGTTAATATAATACTGCAAATATAGCCATATTCACTATATCTATGAAAGTGAAGGGGTTTCCCCGACTTAAAAAGATACTTTCAATACTTTCCCATCCGAGGACCAACTTTTGAATAAACTTTTTGATTCCATGATGTAATATGCAAAAACAAATCGTATGACGGAAAAGCGGTCCTCTTTTGGGAAAGTGCTCAAAATAATGAAAAACTGGGTTGATCAAGTTTTTAAAACTGCGACAGATGTTATTGGGTTAAAGCAGTTTGTATTTCCATTTTTGTCTATATCCGATGCAGCCTAATGTGTAACGCAGTTAGCTTGTAACCAGAAAATGTGAACAGTGAAGGTTCGAATCCACATTCGGATACACTATATCTTTTTTTTAAAATATTTATGCATGTGATCATTTTCCTTATTAAGTGATAAATATTTTTCAAATCAATAGAACATTTTATTGATAGTGTAATAACATACCAATTGATTTATCTTCTATATTGAATGTACATTACAGCTACGCTTTTTAGTTGAGACATCGTTTTAAATATTTATGAATTGTTTTACCCTCCAATTGGCACTAGTATTTTTATTTATTATCTTAACGCAAACAAACGCTGCCGAAATACAAAATATATGGGATTGTTGTGTCAGAGTTAAAATAAAAAAAGGCAAAGCAAAACAATGAAGTGTTATTATCGCATAGATAATACCGAACATGCTGGAAAATGCATCGTCGAGGCAAGTCTCATTTGTTTTAAATGCAGGAAGACTGCAGCACAAACTTAGGAGCGCAATACACGTGTAAGACATGCTATTCCAAAACTATATGTATTTTTATCATTCCAAGGTAAAGGAAGAACAAAAGCAAGATGTGTGTTTTTAAGAAAACATGTAACGGCATGACGTAGGCAGTAGTAATGAAAACTAAATCCTTTCAAACTGTTGGTAATGATTGTACGATCTTGTGTTTTATACAGCACAAGGCGAAAAACGCATTTTGTTGAGTCTTTATCGTGAAACGCATGTATTAGTAGCCATTGCCTTGAATTCGTCTGTTTATAATAATCTATTCTTAGACACGGGATTCCGATTGAGCTACCTTTATAGAAATACCTGAGGACGCGTCACAACAGTGCACGGTTGGAACCGCGCACTATAGCGGATCATAGCGTTTGGGGAAATAGGCATAGCAACCCGCCATAGCTCTTTGTCATTTTAATTTTTTCTTTTGAAATTCTTGCTAACAATAGGTTTCAAGTTATTTTGATACGTTTTTCTGTGCATGCTTGCTTTTATAAGTGGTCATATGTTGTTGAATTAATAGAATCCTGTTGTACCAGAACATGATTTAAACCTCAGAAGAGTAAATCCTTAACAGGTGTCAGTAGTGATACTCCACTAGTCCTCTATATACTCCTTATACGTACCTAGGCAAACACAACACAACACATAAATAGCAAATAGCTGCTCGACCGATAGCACGGACGGAGTCGGCATTTATTCATAAATATAATATATGAATATAATAAATACACATTAACAAAATAACTACTCTGACTTCATTTACCGTACACACAAACAATCCTCCCACATATACCCTCACATGGTTCATCGCCCTACATATGTAAAACCAAGCGCGCCACCCAACCTGAAAACCTTATTAGGCACGACAGGATATGGAGGTGTACCAGCCCGACAATGCTTAAGTGTTTTTTTTACAAAATTGATGCTGGGATTTCTTAAATATGACGATGCCCACACATACATCTGTTACATAAACATAACATTCTGCTATAATCTTATTTCAAAATGTACAACGCCGTGCGAAGGTGCGAAGCTAGAATGAACTTACACGTGCACGTACCCGTAAACTACCCTTAGCATGTGCCTCAATCTGATTGGTCAAAACCTCTGCACGAGACAGGCAACTGCCCTCGTATACTCCGTGTATACAGGACAAATATTTCCCGCTATTCTCCGAAACACAAGATAGTGCTACGTACATGTGTATTTTCTATACACATTTTACAATGCTGTCAGTTTTTAAACGAATTACCAGCATGTAACATACAGTAAGGAACTAATTCAGTTTTATTTCTTTCATTCCGTTCTGCTATAATCTTATTTCAAAATGTACTACGCCGTGCGAGGTGCGAAGCTAGAATGAACTTACACGTGCACGTATCCGTAAACTACCCTTAGCATGTGCCTCAATCTGATTGGTCAAAACCTCTGCACGAGACAGGCAACTGCCCTCGTATACTCCGTGTATACAGGACAAATATTTCCCGCTATTCTCCGAAACACAAGATAGTGCTACGTACATGTGTATTTTTTATACACATTTTACAATGCTGTCAGTTTTTAAATGAATTACCAGCATGTAACATACAGTAAGGAACTAATTCAGTTTTATTTCTTTCATTCCGTTCTGCTATAATCTTATTTCAAAATGTACTACGCCGTGCGAGGTGCGAAGCTAGAATGAACTTACACGTGCACGTATCCGTAAACTACCCTTAGCATGTGCCTCAATCTGATTGGTCAAAACCTCTGCACGAGACAGGCAACTGCCCTCGTATACTCCGTGTATACAGGACAAATATTTCCTGCTATTCTCCGAAACACAAGATAGTGCTACGTACATGTGTATTTTTTATACACATTTTACGATGCTGTCAGTTTTTAAATGAATTACCAGCATGTAACATACAGTAAGGAACTAATTCAGTTTTATTTCTTTCATTCCGTTCCATAGAAATATATGCTGCGACACAACGGAAAATATCTATATAGGTATATATCCAAAAAGGAAAATGAACCATACAAAGATATAGGCGAGATTTAATTGTTACGGTAAACATTTGGTAAGTTCAAACAAAATTAAATAAATATTGTCAATCCTGTTCGAGTTACACGAAATTAAGCCGAGTAAAAAGTAGTTCGCACTATCCAAGTCAACATCGGCAAAAATCACGGCAAACATGGTCAAGTCATTGATACGGAACAACGACGGCATTTTTGAGATTTAGTACATCACATGATAATTTCTAGGATAGCTATTGGATAACTACCCTTGTTCTATTTGGTATAGTTAGCATCCGCCCTTGACAACGGGAACTATACTTGGAGACGGGCACTAGTATACCTTTTTATTGGACCGCTAAGACTGCGGGAAAAGTAGCGTGACACTAAGAGTTGCGCCCCTTCTCCAGAGGGCGCTGTACATATTCTACTTTCACTTCATTGTTGTCGTCTGCCAAAATGGCTTCGAATTTCGGGACCAGGAATGCCGATTGCTTTACAGAGGCTCAGCAATGCATAAAGACGAAGTAGGCGACACCGTTTGACGTCGCAATCCTTAAAGCCTTCCTACTGGAAAGGGGGACCGTACATTGTATGTGACCTAGCGGTGATCTTAATCCAGTGAATTGAATATGCAACAAACAAGAAGAGATCTACTCAAAAAATTATCGTATATTGTCATTTGTTGTTAATTATTAAATATGTTACTTTTTATTGTCAAATGACAGTCATGTGATGTACTAAATCTATTATGACCCTTTCCCTCGGGAACAGTTCTCTTTTAGTGTTGTCTGGAGAGGTATAGTGCCCTTGCCTAACGGCTCGGGCACTATACCTCCCCAGACAACACTATAAGAGAACAGTTCCCTTGGGAAAGGGCCATAATAGAATAATATACCTACAAATCTGGAGATGAATAATGGAATATACATCTTTCTTATATTTACTTACATATATTGATAATCAATTAATAAGTTCAATTGCAAAGCAGAGACAAGTATGTAGGCGGCAAAGCAGTAGATGTTTCTCGAGTAATGACGAAAGTTCAGGTGTACTGATCAGAATGCGGAGAGTGGATTGAAACTGCAATTACCGATTAATAGTTCGATCGACCACCTGGTCAGATATTTTTGTTTTGGCACATGTATAGGTAATATATCAATTAAGTTATAAATAAATCGGTGCCGGTGGTCAGGTCGCAATTATATAATCAAATTGTAATCATAGTAATATCATGATAATACAAATGTCTGTCAAATAATGTTTGAAATTATTCTATATTTTTATAAAAAAAATTATAAACGATCGCTATCATATTACATATCTATAATATACGCTTTAGACATTATATTCCTTATACAACATTCTGCAACATGTGTAAACACACCACGTCGCTCACTCATCTACACTCAATCGTATATATTAATGACCACAATAACATTGATATATAATTACATTTGTATAATGTTATTGTTACTTTGTTATTATATATAAATAAGCACCAATGATCCTAATTCAATATCTAAACAACTACCACACAAACCCATTCGCTCTCACTACGCTCCGTACAATTTCGCACCTGTTTACTTAATTTAAGAAATACAGTTTATTACACGGTCAAATATACACAGAATCAACAATCTAACTCACGAGATACACACAGATCTATCGATGATTAAAATATAACTTAACGTGAGCTGTATTTCACGCTAACTCCCGAATACTTCACAATAACAGAAGCAGAAATGAAAACAATGGGTCACGCCATTACACCTGTCAAAACAACTCTGCGCGTGCCCAGGTAAATATAAAGTTGGCGCGCTTTTTTTTACCCGCGAAATGAAAATAACCTACCTTTACCTCATACTTACTGCATGGAATTTAAAGTAACCTCAAATGAAAATATGTGACAGCCAGTAGTGTGCCGGGATGAACTTCATGAAGGGTTACCAAGTTCATTTGAACAAATGACCTAGATAGACTTACAAGGTCAAAGGGGTCAAATGTGTTTTAAACAATTTCTTTATTACTAACAGTTACAAGGTGACCAGTAACATACTTGGAAGAAGGGGTAACAAGTTTTATAACTGAATGACCTTGACACACTATCAAGATTTCTGGGGGTCAAATGGTCAAATATGAATAAACCTTTAAAATACCTCATCTGATTAAACAAAAGACTCAGGGAGATGATATTTGGACAGTAGCATGCTGGTATGAAAAACTACAAAGTTTGTTTTAGTGAATGGAACCTTGTTAGACATTCAATATTTAAACAGGTTCTTTTTTAATGATCATGGTTATATTTAATGATATTGAGCCTTAGCCTTATTAGTATAAGTCCATATAAATATATTTGACCGTTGTCGACTTTTAAGGTTACAAGTGTGAAGTTAATACAGGGCTAGAAACTGATTTTAAAAACCACTAGTCAATTGGACAATTTTAGCGGTCCATGTGATAATTTCACCAACCCGATATTATTCAACTGATGAAGTAATATCACATTGTGACTAGTTAACCAGGCTAGTTGTTTCTAGAACTGTAGTCTATCAAAAGATTTGACTGGTCTCAGACTATCACACCAAATTAAGGTGACTGAAAATCCCATTATATAATTAGCCACTTGTAAGTAAGTTGGTTTTACTGTAGCTGATTGAAATTTATCTTCTGACAAACATTTCTCATTTCTGATATCTTGTGACACATATTGTCTCATTTCTGATATCTTCTGACAAACATTTCTCATTTCTGATATCTTGTGACATATATTGTCTCATTTCTGATATCTTGTGACATATGTTGTCTCATTTCTGATATATTGTGTCATATTGTCTCATTTCTGTGTTACATTTATCTTACAGCTAGACAGGAAGTCATGTCAGCAAACATCAGTGGTATTTCCATCAGGCAGGCAACATCCATCAGTTTTATTCGCGACAGACAGGAAGACATGGCAAAACTCATCAGTTTAATTTTTGACAGACAGGAAGACATGGCAAAAAAAATCAGTGATGTTTCCACCAGGCAGGAAGATTTAGCAACAAACATCACAGATATTTACAACATACTGAAAGACAAAGCAAGGGATATACATAACTTCAAAGGTATAATTAAGATATTTTAATCAGAAACTGCTTTGAATGATAGACAAAATTTCCTTAAACCGTTGCAACAAGTCATTGTGGTAGATGTACATGACTTATATATAGATTTTGATACCCCCCACAACTCCAACTTCAGGTTTATGTATGCCTATTTGGTGCAACTTTGCATACATGTTATACCTCTAATGAACTTGTGGCCCCATGAAAGCCATTATGTTCCTTCAATATTTATCAGAGTTATTGCCCTTGACTTCTGTAGATTACATTAGGTTACTGAAATGGCAAATTAGCTCGGAAACAGTATTTTGTATACACAAATACATTAGAATATTGTAGAGATTAATGAAAGCTACTTTACTGCCAACTTTCCGAAGTCTTGAGGTCAAAGTTCACAATTGAATTACGATACTGAAATGGCTAGTTATCTCAGAAATGGTAGATATTTTGTATATACATATACATCAGAGTATTGTAGCCAATTATGCAGGCTACATTGTGACAAATCTGAGGTCATCGGCTCAAAGGTCACAGGGGTCAAATATGTCAAACATTTCAAGTGACTTGATCTAAGGAACCGAAAGGTCAAGAGTGATATATTTGGCCAGTAGCATGCATAGGGGAAAGGAAATAAGGTTTGTTGAATTGATCATGAATGACTTTGACCCACTGTTACGGTAAAAGAGGCAAATAAGTTAAAATCTTTCTATATAGTTCTTTTGAATAGATGCCAAGTCTTCTGAATAATCAAATGTTCCAGAATGATCATGGAAAATAATTTGTCGAACTTTAAGAAATTTGAATTAAGTTGACTTGACTAGTGAATATACATGTTTATCATATTTTTCCAGGTGAGCTGGTTCCTGCTAAGAATGTCACAACAGCAAACACAAGCCATACCAAAAGTAAGTTTGACAGCTGCAAGGTTGCTTGATCAGTAAAATTTAGAGATTATTCCCCTTTCAATTAAATTCCAGTCAATGAAAACAGATGACCAGGTGATTTGGTGAATCATTTAAGTAAAAGAAACAACATGGTTATTTTGACATAACATTGATATAAGGTGTCTGTGAGTCAGAAGACAAGTACCTGTACTAGTTCTCTATACATGTAATGATATCTACTAGTGCACTACATGTATTATGATTCATGGTTTGGATATAGATTTGTCAAGTTCAGATTATGACATGAGATTAATAATTAGTAAGAAAATTGTCTGTAATAAATAGTCTGTTTAAATTCAGTAAGCTATGCCTTACCTATTTAATATAAATTTCTTCACAGAAATCCATCCTGACTTAGAACTCATGATAGGTGAGTCTTATCTACTGGATTTGACATGGTTATAGAAGAATTGTAGCAGATTACCTCAAAACTTGGACCAGAACAACATGCATCATCTAAAGATATATGAAAGAAGTCATACTTATGTTTGAATGAGAATCTTAGTTCACCAAAAGAGTAACTCTTGATAGCCAGATTTATCCACAATCTGATAAAGTTTATTCTTTCTCTGTTTCTATTCTCTACAGTGTAGGATCTAGCAGTCAGTTCATAACTGGTGACATTCTGGTGAAATTTATTGCAGCCAATCATTGAAATGTCCTCCAAATAGTCTCAATATTTCAAACACGTGTATTTAATGTATAATTAATAATGACTTCTGTATTAAAAGGTCACCAGATCATGATTACTGATGCCATGTCATCAGATCCTACACCATTGATAATGTAGAAGAACAGAATAAAATATTTAATTGATACGCTCAGCTGGAACAAAGTACCAGGGTGAGCTTATGTGTTGGTGCTTCATCTGTCGTCTTCTCTGTCGTCCCATCACCTTTTGATTTAAATGACAACTCCTTCCAAATTATAGGGCATAATTCAACCAAATTTTAGCATCCTGAGGCCAAGGGATAAAAATATCTATAAATGAAGGTGCTGATCACATTTGGGGGCTGAGGGATGGGTCAAAAGGGGTCAAATGGTTGAATTTGTGTAAAATGACATATCCTCCTAAAATATAAAACAGATTTCAACCAAGTTGTAGCCTTAGACAATGGGAATCAAAAACTAAGCATAAAAAGGAGCTAACAATCTTGGGGATTGATGGATGGAATCAAAAGGGGCCAACTTTGTGGATTTTGTTAAAACCACAATCTACTGGTCAGGTTTTAATCAAATTGTTGTGGTAGCGTCCATAGCCCATGGTGGTCAAAAGTAATACAAATAAAGGGGCGGACATTCTTTGGGCTCTGGACCTAACCTACTGAGCAGATTTCAACTTGATTCCCGAAATAGCCAGGTGAGCGATTCAACGCGACTGGGCCATTTGTTCTGTAACGCTTATACGTTTCTTCATTCATGAGGCATTGAATTGTAACAGAGGATATATTTCAGTGTAATGATTTCACTAGGAAACAAACACTGGATCACTGGCTTACTAGTCTGACCCTCTACTGATTGGGTTAAAAGAAATTCTCTAAATAGATTATAAGTAGGGCACAAGATCAGTAAACCAGAGGTCACAGGTTCAATTCCTAGCAGAGGCATAATTATAATTACATCTGTGATAGGATGTTCATGCAAAGGGTTGGATAACATGGAACATAGCATAAACATTATGTTGTCCGCATTTTCATCGATTGATACTATTTGACTGATGTTGTGATTCACTGTGATTTTACGTTATTGGACACAAACATTTCTGACATCATGTTATGTAAGGATCAGGCCTTTTCACTTAAGTTGATTGGTTATCATTTAAATTAATTAACACTTTTGATTTGCAATTTTGAATGTCACTGTTAAAACCTTGGAATTTTTTCTCAAATAGTTCACTCAAGTTAACCAGCCACCACTTATATGGTAAAAAATGTTACATGATTTCATGACAAAATTTCTTGTTTACTTGAAACTTTCAAAACTCTTCCTTTACAAATGATTCCCTACAGCATTCTGTAATTAATATTTGACTTATAGATTATAGCCATATAAGTATCATTCTTAACTATCCATTTAACACATTGATCACTTCTCACCCTTTTTATCTATTTCTTTTTATACAGAAACAACCAAAGCCAAGATCAGAAAAGAAAAAGAGAAAAAGTTTTACCACACCAAAGGTTTCTGTGATGCTAAAGTCAAGCTCCAAAAGAACAGGGTTGTCGTCATCATGGGAAACACGGGAGACGGTAAAACGGCAATCGCCGTTCAACTCCTTCATTGGCTGAGTCAGGAGAAAGGAGTCGGACAACCCCTCCAGCTTCACAAGATTAAGAAATTAGATTTATTGGCTCCAAACTTAAAACTGATCACTTTTATTGATGATATTTTTGGTGAGATAGATGTGTTTAAAAAAGATGTACAAGAGTGGAACAAAAGAGTCTCAGATGTAGAAACGCTTTTTCTTGATGAGCAAACAGTGACAAATTTTCTTCTCATTACTGTTCGCAATGAAGTATTCAATTCTTTAGAAAAACGTTATATGGGAAGAATTTTTACCAGAGACAACTTGATTGATCTTAGCTCTGATACATACAAAGTTGAAGAAGAGAAAAAAATACTATTAGAGCTGTATAAGCCAGAAAACTTTTCATGAACAGACAAAGAAAAAATACAAATTTTAACTTGCGCACCAAACATTGGATTCCCACAATGTTGCCAGCTTTTCTACAATTCTGAAGAATTGCAGAAAGAACGAGTTGGATTTTTTGCTAATCCTTTTCATTTCTTGAATGAATTAATGACAAGATTACAAGATTGTTCTGCACTTTTGTTTCTCTTCCTCAATAATGGTATGATAAGTGTAAAAGATCTTGATCAAAACAGTCAAAATGTCAACCAAAAATTGCTGGAAGAAGCTTTTGATATCAATTTAATTGATGGTGAAAAAGGCAGTACCAAATCGAATTATAAGCAGAAAGTAGGATTTGTAAAAGAAAATTTAGAGAAATTGTTAGGAGTTTTAGTAGTGAAGGAGAAACATTGGTGGTCTGGTGAGGATGTGTACAGATTTAATCATGATTCTATTTATGTTGCTGTGGCACTTTTGTATGGAAAAGTCACACCAATTGGCTACATACAGAATTGTCCCAGCAAATTCCTCAGTTATCTAACAACCTCAGACACAGCTACAAACAGGATTGTCATATCATCTGATCATTATACAGAAATGTGTGAGCGTCTACTCCGAGAGTTTGAATGTGCGACGTATCCATATGGTACTAGTATTGGCTCTCTAGATGTATGGAATGATCCTGTATTTGTTAAAAGATTTGTCTGGTTTTTGAATGACAGAAAAGTTGATAAATTTGCTGTGTTGAATAAAGCATGTTCTTCTGGTGCAGAAGAATTTGTTTTATATCTTCTGTCTGAAGGTGTAAAACCTGACAAGGAGACAGCATTGATATTGGTTAGTAGACATTGGAATGATGGTTACAGACAAGTGTGTTTACTTAGGAAATTTGTTGTATACTTGAATGATGAGACAAAACTTGATGTTTTGAATAAAGCGTGTTCTTCTGGTGCAGAAGAATGTGTTTTATATCTTCTATCAGAAGGTGTTCAACCTGACAAGAACACAGTAATGTCATTGATTAGTAGTAGACATTAGAATGATGGTGACAGACAAGTGTTTATTTAGGAAATTTGTTGCACACTTGAATGATGTAACAAAACTTGATGTGTTGAATAAAGCATGTTCTCGTGGTGCAGATGAATGTTTTATATCTTCTGTCAGAAGGTGTAAAACCTAACAAGGACACAAACGTGTGGTCATTGATTGACAGACATCAGAATGATAGAAACAGACAAGCGTGTTAACTTAGGAAACTTGTTGTATACTTGAATGATGAGACAAAAGTTGATGTGTTGAATAAAGCATGTTCTTCTGGTGCAGAAGAATGTGTTTTATATCTTCTGTGTGCGGGAGTTGAACCTGACAAGGAGACAGTGTTTAGTGTGGTGGAGGGAGGGAGTGTGAAAGTGTTACGTAAACTACTGCAGTAGCTGGAGTTGTATGCTGGGTAACAGGGAGCTTTGTATATATTTATGTCAGTCTTACCCAGCACTAACTACAGCTGTAGATAATGACGGGAGAACGGTGTTACATTGGAGTTGTATGGTAGGTAACAGGGAGGTTTGTTTATATTTATGTCAGTCGTACGCAGCACTAACTACAGCTGTAGATAATGACGGCCGCCATTGTCTACATGACTTAGCTAGGTTTATTTTGATTTCTCAATGAAACGTGCAATTATAATCAACACAAACTTTTTAAAACAATTCTGTTCAAAGCTCATGTCATGATGAATGTTTTAACGAGCACATTTTATCGGTAAATATTATAAAATATGATGAGTTTTTTCAGTCCAAGTTTACCGATCTTTAAGCTCCGGAAAAAATACGGCCAGGGGGTGTCCTCTTTCAGGTGCGAGATTTTGAGTTTTTCCTTGGAAAATATTAAGACCTGAATGGAGTGGATTGTATCAGGTTTGAAATAAGAATATGATGTTTTATCCTGTTTTGAATATTACCAACATTGTCATGTTATATGTAATTTTAAATGTGCTGAAGCATTTTGTAAAATGCTGTGGAAATATTTCTTCCCAAATGAATCCTCAGTAGTAGTAAACTTTGTGATAAATTGTTGATAAATCTTAATGATATAATGATTATCTATCGCTAATTAATTATGATTAAACATGATGTCTGGAGTAAACAGTGTACAGTTAATTTCACATTTCATCTTAACAGACTTGTTAGCATAGTCATTTTAAGGTAACCTATATATCAGATCCCATTTTGGAATCACTGTTAACTCCTTTGGTGCCAATCAGACATGATAGATTTATTTGACAGCTTTCCTGCCTTTAAGCGGGCCTCTTGTTCAAGTTGTTGAGGTTTTATGAGATGAGAAACAATAGTCAAACTCTGCAGCTACCAATACAAAAATACAAGAATAAGGAATGAGTGAAATTTTAGGTAAGCTCAATAATTTCTTTTTCTTTTTAACATTCTTGCACAATTGAAACGTAATAAAATAGACAAATTCCAGTATGATTTTAAAAGCAAATTCATTCACAGTTGCTTTTTTTATTATTGTTTTTTTTTTATTCTGTAGCGTATGAGTATTTCAAGTGAAAACTAGTGGCAGGATTTCATACTTATTTCATGTTTATCTGTTGAAATTAGCGAGGACTGTGATAAACCTGCATACAACGAAAAACTAGCAAATGGAAACTGTTCAATAAAAATCATAACAAATATTTGTCAACAAATTCACTTGCTTGAAATGGTCAAAATTACTTTCTACGCGATGACTGTGATCCAGTGTTCTAACAAATATAACTTAAATACGCTTCATGGATCTGTAACTGAAACAAATGTTGATGATGTTGACATATATGTAAATGTAGAACAACTGGGCCAGTCTTTTACCATTGAGTAGCTATAGATAGCTCAGTAAGTTAGAGCGAAAGTATAATGATAGGGAGTCCTCGGCTTAAATACTGGCCGGGCCCAGTTGTATTTGTAAACTCAATAGGTTAGAGTGACGGTATAGATCGGGAGTACTTGGTTCGGATCCTGGCTTTGCCTAGTTGTATTTTAAACTCAAAAAGTTACAGTGAATGAATGATAGTATAATAGACGAAAGCCTTTGGTTTGAATCTTGCCCTGGTCTTCTTGTTTTTTTAGATTCAATAGGTTAGAGTGCAATTAATATGATGAGTCCTTGGTTTGGATCCTGACCTGGTTTAGATGTTTTTTTATACTCAATAAGTTAGTGACATTAATAATGATCGGGAGTCCTGGGTTCAAATCCTGGCCTGGCTCAGTTATATTTTTATATTCAATAGGTTAGAGTGACGGTATAATGATAAGGAGTCCTTAGTTCGAATCCTGACCTGGTCCAGTGGTATTTTTATACTCAATAGGTTAGAGTGACGGTATAATGATAAGGAGTCCTTGGTTTGAATCCTGACCTGGTCCAGTGGTATTTTTATTCTCAATAGGTTAAAGTGACGGTATAATGATAAGGAGTCCTGGGTTCGAATCCTGACCTGGTCCAGTTATATTGTTTTATGCTCAATATTTTAGTTAGAGTGACAGTATAATGATAAGGAGTCCTTGGTTCGAATCCTGACCTGTTCCAGTGATATTTGTAAACTCAATAGGTTAGAGTGACGGTATAATGATAAGGAGTCCTGGTTTCGAATCCTGACCTGGTCCAGTTATATTTGTATGCTCAATAGGTTAGAGTGACGGTATAATGACAAGGAGTCCTCGGTTCGAATCCTGTACTGGCCCAGTTATGTATTTGTAAACTCAATAGGTTAGAGTGACGGTATATATCGGGAGTCATGGGTTCGAATCTTGGCTTGGCTCAGTTATATCTTTATACTCAATAGGTTAAAGTGACAGTATAATGATAAGGAGGCCTTGGTTCGAATCCTGACCTGGTCCAGATATATGTTTGTGCTCGATAGGTTAGAGTGACGGTATAATGGTAAGGAGTCCTTGGTTCGAATCCTGACCTGATCCAGGTTAGAGTGACGGTATAATGATAAGGAGTCCTGGGTTCAAATCCTGGCCTGGCTCAGTTATGTTTTTATATTCAATAGGTTAGAGTGACGGTATAATGATAAGGAGTCCTTGGTTCGAATTCTGACCTGGTCCAGTGGTATTTTTATACTCAATAGGTTAGAGTGACGGTATAATGATAGGGAGTCCTGGTTTCGAATCCTGACCTGGTCCAGTTGTATTGCATGCTCAATAGGTTAGAATGATAGTATAATGATTTGTTTTTATGGTTTTGAATCCTGACCTAGTCCAATTATATTTTTATACTCTATATATAAGTAAGAGCGACAGTACATTTATCAGGAGCCCGGCCTTGATTCAAATCCTGGCCTGGTCTAGTTGTATTTTGATATTCAATAGATTAGAGTGAAAGTATAATGACCAGGTATCCTGGGTTCGAATGCGGATGTGGTCCAGTTATATTTTCATACTCAATAGGTAAGAGTGACAGTATAATGATGTGAATGGAGTCCTTGGTTCGAATCCTGACCTGGCTCAGTTGTATTTTTATACTCAATAGGTTCGAGTGACAATATAATGATGTGGATGGAGTCCTTGGTTCGAATCCTTACCTGGCTCAGTTGTATTTTCATACTCAATAGGTAAGAGTGTCAGTATAATGATGTGAATGGAGTCCTTGGTTCGAATTCTGACCTAGTCCAGTTGTATTTTTATATTCATTAGGTTAGAGTGACAATATAATGATGTGGATGGAGTCCTTGGTTCGAATCCTGACCTGGCTCAGTTGTATTTTTATACTCAATAGGTTCGAGTGACAATATCATGATGTGGATGGAGTCCTTGGTTTGAATCCTGACCTGGCTCAGTTGTATTTTTATATTCATTAGGTTAGAGTAACAATATAATGTTTGAGAGTCTTCAGTTCGAATCCTGACCTGGCTCAGTTGTATTTTTATATTCAATTGGTTCGAGTGACAATATAATGTTTGAGAGTCTTCAGTTCCAATCCTGGCCTGGTCCAGTTATATTTTCTATTCAGTTCTGCAGGGGCTGGTTATTAATAAATGATTTCTCACATGTATAATCATGCCAGATAAAAGCTTTGAATGCATTATTACATAATTAAGCTTGATTTGGTCAAAATTTTCAATTGTTCCGGAATTTATTTTGTTTCATTTCATAAGGAGTATTGTTTTAAAAATGTAATATATCTTCTTAATTTTGAAGGTAAGAAATGTTGTTATTTCCCTTTATTTAATAATTGTCTGTATTCTGTATATACCAAATGACTGTTACCTTGACAAAATTAACCTTATCTGTCTGAACAATGAAACAGATGGTACTTTTGTATGTACTTTAGAATTATTGATGATTTAAGTGTTATAATAATTTGTATCAAGTGAAAAGAATGTTTTTTGCTTTCATGATGTAGTACTTTTTTTTGGGAAATATATACATCAATTGAAATATTCTAATATATAAAGTTTATATTTGGATAAATATAGAAAATATGTTTCAGAGATATTATAGGATATGGTAGTAAAATGTTTGACTGAAATATCATGTACACACAAATGTTTTTGTGAAAACAAGTACATGACATAGTGTGTATTATCCAAACAATTTGTACAATAAACATAATTGTATCTAGAAAATGTTTTTTTATTTGTCTAAAAGATCATTCTGAATTCATGCCATACAGCAGCTTCTGTCGTCAGTCAATAATATCTTTAATAAGGGCCCTGCATCAAAGATGTGGGTGCCTTATAGCAATCAGGGTGTCAGTCAGTCTGTCTGTCCATCCACACTTTCGTTTCTGGAGATTATCTAGGAATCTGTAATACTGATCTTTCTGAAATTTGACATGGTGATACACTGTGAAATGTACGTGTGCAAAAGGAGTGCAGAAATAAAAGTCAGGATCAAGGTCATTGTTACTAAAAAGAAATTTTCTCGGATTCCAAAAGTTTAAACTTTTTCGAATTAGACATGGCAATACACTGATATGTAGATGTGCAATAAGGGTAAAAAAGTGCTAAGGGCAAGGTCAACATCACTGTTACTAAAACTAAACTGGTGTGGGTGGGGTTTGGTCCTTATTTCGGAATCCAACAGTTTAATCTTTATGAAATTTGATCTGTGATATGGACAGACAGTATGTAGATGTGCAATAAGTAGTTTAAAACTTTCAAAAGTCAATGTCACCTTTTTGTAGGGAACATCTTGCGTGAGCTTCCAGTGGCGGACCCAGGGGTGTTGCCTTAGTTGCCCGGGCAACACCCTTTTTTCTATGTTCAAAAATTATCTGGACCAAGGTTTTAGAAGATTTTCCTCTATTTCATATGTGATTTCCTTCTAATGTCAACCATCCCTTGAACTATGATTTTCTATGACTTCCCCTTGCCAGCAGTTTGAATATCTATATATGCCTATGGGTGTTGCCCAAACAAGGAGTCCACTACTTATACTCTAAACAAAGGGGGATTAATCCTCTATTGCCTATACATTAGTAGGGTCTCCAGTCAGATCAGTGGTCAAAGCTCACCGGACTGACTCTACCTAAATAATCTTATTGTTCTAAATGTCAGGGTGTGGTGATCACCCTGTCAGTTGGGAGAAGACTATACCATCTGTTGGAATTAGGTATAAAGTCCTTTTCATGATAGATAAAACTGTATTTTCACCTGTGGTTTCATGTACACATGATCACCAGGAGTGATTGATTATACCAATTAAAAAAAATTAAAAAAAAATACAAAGACAATAAAGCACCCTCCTTAGCATCACTTTATCAGGTGAATAATAATGTTATTATTATCATAAAAGCCTAGCATGTATATCCATTTCATTAGGTGTTGCGGCCTTGTACATTTGTATGCCTACAAATTCACGATAAAAGACAAACAGTTAAATCATAATTCATACATGGTATTTATGACAAAATAAATCAAATATTTAATTGCCAAAATGCTCGCCTAAACTACATGTTATAAAATATAACCTGGAAATACTGCAAACTCAGAAACCTATTCTAAGCCTCACTTGAACTGTTTGACAATGGGAATAATAACCGATAAATTCTTGCTTTCTACGGTCGGTACTCTTTGAAATAGTTTAGTATAACATCTTCAGAAAAAAAAAAATCTGCTCGGCAGGGAAATTATAATTGTCACAATCTCAGAAATAATTAAGTTCTATAAAAAAAATTGGTGCCAGAAAGTAGTATACATGAACAATCTACATGCAAATTCTAATTTATTAGTTATTTCTGAGTTGAAAATGTTGGGCAAAACCCAAACTTAATTCCTGGGGTCTAATTATGTGACTAAACCAAGCTCTGTCTATCATGAGACAGACCTAACACATGTACAGGGACGTTATTCAAAGAAAGTGTAGACGAAATTGATGCACATTCACTTTTGTTACAAACCGCTAAAAGAAAATGTCCGATTAGATTAAACCAATGTGAATAACGTCTGCGTTACTGATTGTTCAGATAAGGACCTATAGATAATCTAATTCTGTGCTCAGATATTTCTCTGTTCCGATCATAGACTGATGAACATTTCGTAATACGTTCTTGACGTATACAGATCTGAGACATATGTTACCTCAGAGACGTGCTGATGATTTAGGTCTCCAAGTTTCACTGACAAGATAAACATATACATGTAATTTACTTGTAGTCAAATACAATTACCCATTCTTATTGTCAACCCGGACACGCGACCCCAATTGCAATCATACGTGTGAGTTCACCACGGGAAGGCGGAGTTACCGATACTAAGGATGTGGTGTGTACCTTCGGCAATAACCAGACTGAGACTAGGTTAAACCAAACTTAACGACAACATAAGTATTATGAATAAAAAATATCACCAACCTGTCCAATTTGTAACGCAAACGAAACAATAGAACATGTTTTTGGCACTGTTACAAATTCAAAGAAGCAAGGAAAGAATTAAGAAAAGAATTAAATGAAAATAAAATTCAAATTACATCAATTAATGATCTTAAGAAAGATCAATACATAAAATATTTGAGCAAAATCGACTATATGAACAGAATTTAGAGGCATGCACGTACTGAGACCATTGGTCAAAGGGAAATAACTCTTATGAAAATTTTCCTTTTTATCTATAAACGTTAAGTCTCACGAAATCCAGATTTTTGGTTTTTAATAGGCTTTTTTTTATGAAAATCACCCAGAAAGGAAACAACTTTTTTCTATGCCTTATCCATTTAAGTTTATTGTTAACAGATTCTTATATCTTTAAAATGCTATATCACAGAAATTAGAAATCAATCGGCAAAATAATAATCCTTTGCCGTCCTACAAACAAGGGAAGCAGCTCAGAAGAGTCTTACGCGAAAATTCGCTTTATACCAGACACCCTGCAGGTGGGAAAGTCCCTTTTTAAAAAACAAGGGGATGGGTGCAGGGTCAAAAGTTATGATAAGATCAAGGATACTCAATATAAACATCAAATCATAATACAAACAGCTGGTACAAATATATATAAAATCACTAAATATAATACACCCGACTGCGGGAAGTTCCGTTCATAAAAAGGACTGTCTTCTACTCCACAGCAATCTTATATCTAGTCCAACCTAATATAGACATGTATATGCATACATACATGAAAACATCCACATGAATGTATGTAAATATACATTGTATATATATAGACCGTCGGAGGCTATGTACAAGCTGGAGCGGTACGCCGTTTTTAGACTGTACTAAGCCTAAACGATGGATGAAATTAAGATAGAACTTAATAACCACTATAAACTGTATAAAACGACCGATAAAATAGGTCCTTTCGCTACCCTACAAGGTTAGCGCCGGTAAAGTGCTATATGGACCTATTATTTAGGTAGGAATAACGAGATAATCGAATCTTGAACTAATAATCAATATCTGTTTATCTGACACAGCTAATAGGGGTAATATTAATAATATACAATAAATCAAAATACTCTAACCAATTTTATAAAACAAAAAGCACAGCGATCTTATACCTAATAAAACATAATATATACATAATGTAGATGTATACATGAACACATACACATAAATGTAAACCCCAACCCCAAAGTATCCCCCACCGCCATCCCATCCCCCCACCAAACTATCTCCAGCCCCTCTCCGGTCCATACAACTAGCACTCGACTCTCTTTGATACCCATCACTTCTTTCCATCCCCAACCCTCCCGTTCCCACATCAATGTTATAACCCAATTATAACATTAATAAATCGCACTGTACAATAAAAATCATAAAAAGCCGGAAGATGAACAGAACTAAGTGAAAGACAAGATGAGGTTTTTAGGAAAGAGGACATTGGTAAAGTACAGTCAGCCATAAATGGTGTCCCGTGTGAGAACTGTCCGATCTCGCACGAAAGAGATTCCTCTGAGTTTTTCGAAAAAGAATAGGCGAGAAGCACCGACACAGAGATCGCAGAGAGTTGTACTTGATGGAGAATCGTCAGCTAAAGTCCCAGTAGAGTCAGGGGTCCCCCAAGGGACAGTCCTGGGTCCCCTGATGTTCCTTCTATACGTCAACGATATCGGCGCAGGAATCACCTCTGCTGTCAAACTATTCGCAGATGATTGCCTCCTATTCAGGATCATTGACTCCGTCGCAGACACCCACCAGCTACAGGGGGACTTAGCCAAAATGGTCAGCTGGTCGAACAAGTGGCTGATGAAATTCAACGCCAAGAAGTGTTACACGATGAGAATGAAGAGATCCCGAACCAACATAACAACAGGAGCCGACTATAACATCAATGGAAGTACACTCCAAGTAGTAGAGCACAACCCATACCTGGGAGTGGAAATAGCCAACAACCTGGACTGGAAGCAACATATCAACCAGATGACCACAAAGGCCAACGGATTACTATCCTTCCTAAGGCGCCACCTTGGAAAATGCAAACAGGAAGTGAGAGAGAAGGCCTACCTGACCCTAATCCGACCAAACCTTGAATATGGAGCTTCAGTCTGGGATCCACATAAGAAATACCAACAGAAGTCAATAGAAAGAGTCCAGCGGCGAGCAGCTTGATTCACAACCGGCGATTACTCGCGTTACAGTAATGTAACCGGGATGTTGATCGAGCTACACTGGCCACCCCTACAGCAGAGACGGAAGGAAAGTCGACTAACCAACCTCTACAAAGGCATCCACAACACCAACGCACTGATCATACCAGTAACGCCAGAAGTGGAAGGAGACAACATAACCACGGCTATATCAACATACGATGCAACACCGACACCTACAAATACAGCTTCTTTCCAAACACCATCATGGAATGGAATGGACTACCATCAGAGGTCGAGCAGCTGACTGTGGAGGCATTCAAGACCTCGCTCCACAGTCATCTTGCAGAGTGAAAGTGGATCCTGTAAATAGTTTTAACTTTTTAACCTGTTTTTAAAGAACTAATGTTGAAGCCACGCCACACAAGTCTACCTGCAAGTTGATGCTGTTCGACGGCCCTTTGCAGTATCGCCGTAAATGTAAATGTAAATGTAAACAGAGGATATGATTAGATTTGTTTTCGACCGTTAGAATTAGTTTCTCTCTAATTTGACATTAGAAGGACTTCAAATATAATACAAAATTCATAGAATA